ATTCATTCTACCAGTTCTGTTTCTTTGGAGAACCCTGACTAATACAGGGGACTAAAAGGATTTTTTGAGTTCACACTGTAAAAGTTTTTAAATACATTTGGTTCTCTCCAGAATATTTTCAATGCTGCCTTTGTGTGTGTGTGTGTGTGTGTGTGTGTGTGTGTGTGTACACGCAGGCATGCACTCCTGTTTGAATCTGAAACCTATAGTTTACAGAAGTTGAAAGGTAACAGGAAAAAATACATAGAAACTCCAAGACATTAGGTACCTTGAATAAGTATAAGCAAACATAAACAGACCACCCATGAGATAGAGCGGAAGGAAGGAGGTGAGGGATGCTGGTGTTGGGATGAGCACTAGAACCCAGCCATCATAGCTGCGTTACATCCTGAATGATTTTCTAATTTTCCAGCTGTGTCTCGACTGCCTTTCATAGTACATTCATTTATCTTTCTTCAGCATCCCTTTGGTGGCTTTTCCCAAAGACAGTTAAAAGGAGACTGTCTTCCTGGTACTAACTGAATGGACTGAACGTATAAACTTTATGCAAAACCATGGAAGCTAATGACATGTCCTGGTGGGTACTGTGTTGCTAGTCTTACTACTTTATATTCTGAGTAGATTTCTGGTACTTTCTACTCACTGTACCTCCCCGTCTCTTTCCAAAATTATTTATTAATGATTGATCCTCTTTTTGTTTCTTATCTGGTTTATTGAAACAGATGCTATTTTTCTTGTGGCTGAAGTATTTCTAAAATCCATTCTTCATACATTCTTCAGAAATACATAACTAAAGTTCCTAAGTGGCTATTCTTGACTCTTGCTTAAAATCCCTTTGTAGGTGCTCCATGGTACAGACAGAATAAAGTTAGATCTTTGATAGGATGTAGGAACAACAGAATTTTGTATAACTATTATAAACTGAACACACCATCTCCTGCCAACTCATAGTGCACCTACCACTTGACTCTCTCATCTACTACAGTTTTACAGCTTAAATGACAAATTTCTTTGGGAAATGTTACCTGTCCCTTAATTTATCTTCTACTTTGTTCTGGGCACTTGTCATGCTCTGGGGATGGGGTTATGACAAAGGCAGGAAGCCCACCATGTCTTTCTGTTTATCAAGAGGCAAAATGCTGAAAAAGTAACTCAGAGTGGGAGATGTCATTTATAATACATAGAACTAACAAAAGGCTCATATTAGAAATATATAAAGAGCCCTTATAAATCTATTTAAAATGCAGACAACTCAGTAGGGATGTGAGAAAGAGTTTAAATAGAGATTTTGCAAAACAATATCCAAATGCCAATAAGCATATTAAAAAGTGTTCAAATTCATTGAAATCAGAGGACTAATTCTTACTGTCATTACAAACACTTAGTAGCTTTACTTAAATAATAACTTCTCAGTTTATACAAGGGCCCTAAAACAATTGCTTTATTTCAGTTATTAGATTTTTTTGATTGATTTATTTATTTTCATTTTTAATACAATTTACACTAAGATGCACATGCATTTCTAATCTCTATATATCTGATTATTACTAGTCACAGTCAGTTACTTTCTGAGCTCCTTGGCATCTGAGCATGGATATAAAGTCATCAGGTAGATTTCAATGGTAATGTTTTCACATCTACTAATTATTAAAGAGCAAATTTTTGTGCTTTGAAGAATTATTATTTTTATTTATACACCCACTTCCCAGGTAGCACCCTCCCATAGCCTCCCTCCCCCCACTAGAGCCCTTATACTCTGATATCCCTGCTACTGTCTGCTGCGTTGTCGGCACCCCCAGCCATTCCCCACTACTTGCCCTTCTGGTGAATCTAGTCAGCCTATCTAGAGGTCTTTCTTTTAGGAGGGTCAGCTGTTCCTCATCTAGCGGTTCAGTTGTCTATATTCCTTTGGATAAGATTGGGGTCCACTGTTCAATTTCATTTTATGGGTATGGGTGTTTTGCCTGCATGTATGGAAGGATATCCATGCATAATATGCCCATGGAGGCCAGAAGAGGGTGTTGAATCCCCTGGAACTGGAATTATGGATGGTTGTTAGCCAGCCACCATATGGGCGCTGGGAACTGAACCTGGGTCCTCTGCAGCAAGTGTTCTTAACTGCTGAACCATCTCTCCAGGCCCACAATTTCCATTTTATTACTGGTGTATGTGTGTGTGTGTGTGTGTGTGTGTGTGTGTGTGTGACATGTACCCCTGTGTGTGCATGTGGAGGCTAGAACAGGACTTTGGGTTTCTGTTCTATCCCTTGCTACCTTATTGCCTTGACTCCAGGTCTCTCACTAAGCCAGAAGCTTGATGTTTTGACTAGGCTAGCTGAATGGCTAGCTCTTGGCATCCACCTCTGTCCTATCCCTCAATCTTGGGGTTACAGGCATGGGTAGCCATGCTTCCTTTGCAGGTGGCCACTAGGGATTCCAACTCAGATCCTCATGCTTGTATAGCAAGTGATTTTACCGACGGAGCCATCTTTCCAACCTCTATTATTGATTTTTAAGAGTGAATTACTGTGTTCCTCACTTAGCCATTCCAGAAATTCTTGCCACAACTCAACAGGCTGCAGGGGCGCTTAGATAGCCAGACACTGGGGCAGCCAAGATTGCATTGGGGCAGACTTTATAGAAACTTAGTATCCATCTAGGTCATGGGGAGCCTTTGCTCCTCAGTGCTTTACTCATCACTGGGTAATTAAAGTCATTTGAGATTCAAGTTTATGCCATCAAACCATTTAGAAATGACTTCATTCATGTTTTCCACATTCATGTTTTACACAAATAACAATATTTGAGTATCTTTTCCACTTGGGGTTCCCATGCCTCTTCAGGAAGAAGAGAGAACCAGCCATGTGGGACTGTATGTGCAGAGGTAGACAGGAAAAAACTGTACTAATAATGCAAAGTGTTTTGTTCTATTTTCACCACAACAAAATTCTCCAACATAAGAACATGGTGAAGCTTAATGCATTTCCTCACAATCCACTGCAAATGGCAGAGATGAAAACTGTGATACTAGGTAACGGTAGCATGAGTTATTTTTGTAGTGTGGCTCCAGGAGATGGTAGCTTGCTAAACACAGGGTTAAACAGAAGTCGTGTTGAACAGCGGCGAGCTCTGTGCTTGTTCTCCCATCTGCAGTTTCTTTTGCACTTGGCACCAGGCTGATTAACAGGAAAAACCACACCCACCTGAAGCAAACGCTGACCTCTGTTCTCTCCAGAATGACACCCGAAGAAGAGCAGGACTCCATGGTGACTGTCCCTGTTGCTGATGTATGTATGGGAAATAGGCAGATCTCTCCCTCTCTCCAATCTCCAGGACCGTCAATTATGAATATTTTTCTTCAGTTAAAGAAAGAAATCCATAGATGTGTTGGGAAGATTTTAGGCAATATATTTAGGGCTTGTTCAACACCACTGAGGAGAAATATGTAAGTATGAAAGGAAAATAGAGCTGCTTAATGTGGGAGATACAGATTGGTAAATTTGACTTGCATTTAATGTAAGATCCCGGCATGCTATAAGATACAGAAATTATATTTACAAATAGAACACTAAAACTGATACTATAATAGCAATATTTGCCAAGTTCAATAAAAGATTGGTGTATGAATCCAGGGGTAATTTATTAAGTAACAGTAGCAACTACTAACTGAAGTCTCCTTCTTACACTTGAAGTATTATGGACACTTTTTCTAGACATTATTTATTTGTAACTTGTAGTGGAAGTGTCACTATCTTGATTTTAAGAATGAAGGAATGAGACTTAACGAATGCATCTTGCCCAATAACTAATAGATTCAGATCTAGGTCTCTCCAAGGGCTCCAACAATTTCTATTTTGTTCCTAATCCGTAGTGGTAATCACTGTCTCATTTTGAAAATTTGAGTAAAACAACTAAAGTGCTGTGTAAATATTAATATCATAGACTTTGGGAGAGAAATTTGGTAATGCGTTTCAAATTTGAAAATCCAAATTCTGGGAACTCACCCTTAGAAGATAATCAAACAAGTGTGTAAACACAATGACAATATGACAAGGTAGTTGAACACACAGAGTGCACCACGCAGTCATGGTTCAAGGACCAGCTTCTCTGCTTTCTGCCTCGTGAACTTGGGCAACTAGCTGAACTTCACTGTGCCTCACTTTGACTTTAAAATAGGGGTAAGTAGTACTATTTTATGTCACAGGAGTTTAGAGGATGATATTAGCTAATAGACTTCAAATGTCTGCCCTTAGTATGATTCATGGCACAGGGCAAGTGTCCAAGAAATAATTATTTCTAGAGTTTTCAGTGCACGTTTACTTTATGAAAGCATAATTATGGAAACAAAAATATCTATTAGTGAGGCTAAATTAACACTCTATTACACATCTCTACAACACAGTATCACATTGTTTTAAAAAAGTTAAAAGCCATAGATACCACTTAATATAATGGTATCTATGTGAAATAAGATGGAAGGATGAGAATAAAGATACAGACAGGTGAGGTGTATGAAGAAAATACAGAATGTGAGCCAACACAATGTGAGAATGTGTGAGTGTCAGGGGTTTTTAATCACCTAAGATAAAACCTGAAGAAGGAAAGGTGTATTTTGGGTCATAGTTTCATAATTTCAGGTTTTCAGCCCATGGTCAGTTGGTTCTATTGCTGTTGGACCCATGAGGAATGTAGAGTGGAGTAAAGCAGCTCAGCTCAGAGCAGCTGGGAAGTGAGAAATGGAAGGGGTTCCAGAATCTCCTGCAATGGTGTGCCCCACTGCCCTACTGCTTTCCACTACCGCACCTCCCAGTGGCTCCATGACCCCCTAACAGTGTCTTTGGTTGGTGATCATGCTTTCAACTCATGCACACTTGGAGGCTACAAAAGCCAAGGCATAGAATTTAGAATGATGATCTCTAAAACATCAATAATGCCTGTCCCCGAATGCCAGGAATTAGAGAATTCTTTGTTATCCCTTATTATTTTCTTTTTTGCTCATTTCATATAATAAAGGTTTATTTGAATGCAGAAATACTAAAAAAAAAGTCTAAGCAAAATTTGCAATGTAATAGCTATTAGAAAAATATAAATAAAAGATGAAAGTTAGTTTAATTCATCTCAGTTTGATTTCAAGTGGAAGCTTACGTGTAATCTTGAGCATTTCCTCAGTTCATACTCTTGATTTCTTTGCTGTTGGCTCAATGAACACCTGTGGAGTATTAAGGCAAATAGAATATTGGGGATACAAATTTGAAGATAGGTTTAAAAGTCTAACATTAACACTGTATTTAAAATGTATGTTTTAGTGTTACTTAAGATTTTGGCTCTCTAAAGAAATTTAGAAAATAAAATAGATTGATCTATATCATGTCTGATTCTTTTAAACAAACATCTTGATTACATACATTTAAGTTACCTTTCAGAACATTCAGATTAGATAAGAGAACTGTTATTCTTCAAAATATTTTCAGAATTTTATATTATAAACTTGTATCTTCCTTGAGGTCACATTTTGTGAGTACCATTGGATTTTAAAAAATCATCCTGAGAAAGAAAATGTGATGATGGTTCTGTTGATTGTCAATTTGACAAGATCTAGAATTAGCTTGGAGACAAAGCACTGGGCATATTTATGAGAGGTTTTCTAGATTAGGTTAATTGAGGTGGGAAGACCCATGATCTGGGGTCCCAGATGAAAAGAGAAAAGAGAAAGTGAGCTGAGCACCAGCTTTCATCCTTCTCTGCTTCCTGACTGTGGATGCAATATGACCAGCTGCCTCACACTCCTGCTGCTGTGACTTCCCCACCAGGTGGACTGTGTCTCCTCAAACTGTGAACCCAAGTAAACCCTCCCTTCCTCAAGCTGCTTTTTGTCAGGTAGCTCCTCACAGAGACAACAAAGATGACTAATGTGGTAAACCACCCAAACCTTTATACAAATGAATAGGTCTTCTCTATATTCTATGCCTATAGTTCAGATCCACAAGTTTATTGACAAAAGGAAACTTGGGAATCACATTGAGTAATAGTCCCAGGAAAAAGTTGATGCATAATTATTTTGAAGTAAGATTACTGTCATGGGGGTAACACTCATAAAATGAACGTGCTTTCCAATAGAGTAGCTCTTTGAATGAGCCATTCTAAGATGATCATTTTTAGAGCAAAACATTTTTTAGATACAGAAGATTATGTATAATAATTTTATGTGTAATTAAAGGATAATAATGTTCCATATCCTGGTGAATGGAGAAAGATGTTTTCTATATTGAAGTGAGTTTCCTTAAAAAAAGGTGACTATTTTAAATTTTCTTCTAGAAAGTAAAAGTACTAGGAATTATTAGGACATGATGGCATTCCACATCTTTAGTTTCAGTAATTTTTTCTCATTTTTAGACTAATGAAGATTATTTAAATTGTGTTGCTGACATGGTTAAAACCAAGTAAGTGCTTTCTGATAAATTGCAAAATCAGTCCCCTTTTATTTTCATGTCTTGTTTCTTCTGTCCAGTTGTATTATTATTGATCATATGCTTATTTGTGACTCTGAGTTGTGGAGAATGAACCTGTAGATTTTTTTCTGATCTGGGATGAGGTATAGCATATTATTTCCCCTGATTTTGCAGAATATCTACTTATTAGAATTCATATTTTCTTTCTGTAGTTCTTATATTATTTATCCTCCATGAACTCTATTACCTCTGAGGAACCTATAAAAGCATACTCAAAACATGTTTATATTCATTACTACGAGGGTTACACCACCTCTTCTGATTAGAGTTACTATAAGCTTCTATACTGATTCACACAATGCTGAGTCAGCACGATGTTACTTACTAATCAAGCAGGATGCTGTGAGATGGACCCAGCCTTCCAAGTTCTTATGTTCACATGGGATATGCAACTTGTGAAGGATAAGTCATAGTAAGAGGGCTGTTGTCTGCATAATGGTATAGGGAAGGCAGTATGAGAACATGTGGGAGAGGAAGCATGAACCTCACCTGCTGATATGGAGGAGGTGGGGTGAACTGGAATTAGGGGTATAAGTAGACTTCTTTGGGCGGATAAGAGCAAAGAGGTCCTGTTTGACACATAGAATTGTTTGGAAAGACAAAAAGATTAAGAGGACAACGCACTAGATTTTTAGAAGTTTAGTGTATTTTGGAACATGACATTTAAGGTTAAGTAGAAAGGACCGAGAGATGTGAGAGGCCATAACAAGGTTGTGAGGGACTCTTTGAGGCTAGATAAGGAATTTGGATTTGATTCTATAGACCAAGGTCATAAACAAGGTCACTGGGCTGAATCTAGCTTACAGATGTGTTGTCAGCCATGGCATGCTTTGTTTTGGTTTGCCTCAGTTAATACTTGAGTAGATAAGGGAAAAAAGGAGGGTGATGAGTACTTGTAGAGATCACATATGAAAAAATATATTACCTAATATATAAGAACATTATAAAATTGTGGCATATCTATGTCTTGTACTGCTTATTTTTTTAAAGGGGTCCTCCAATATTGGTGCATAAATATTGATAATCATGATGTTTTCTTCTTATATTCATATTTTTTATTTTATGTATATGAATGTTTTGCCTGTATGTATGTGTATGCACCATATGTGTGTCTCTTGCCCATGGAGGCCAGAAGAGAGATTAAATCCCCTGGAACTGGAGCTCTGGATGGTTATGTGGGTGCTAGAGATCCAAGCCTGAGTCTTCCGCAAGAGTTGCAAGCACCTGTAACCACTGAGCCGTCTCTCTGACCCTTCCTTTTATTCTTGTTGGATTTGTTTCTGCCCTTGATGGTCTCTTCTAACCAGCTTTGACTTGAGCTCTTCTCTGTCAGATACGAGCACAGGCACGCCTGCTCTGGGGTCTTGTTCGCTCTAATACCATTTCCATGCTTCCACTTTCAGCCTCTGTGTGTCTGCTGAAGAAGCGAGGCGATCGGTAGGCAGCAGATGGTTGGAGGTTGTCTTTTAATCCATTTAGCCAATCTGTGCCTTTTAATTAGAGAATCAATATCACTTACAGTCAAAGTTTTTTTTTTGATTATGTGTTAATTTCTGTCATTTTGTTATTTATTTCAGCTATTTTGAATAATGTTTGCTTCTTTTTCACTTGTTTGCCTGAGAAGTTTGGTGATTTTCTGAGTTAATGATGTTTAACTCTTTCCTAATTCTCAATTACTTATCTACCTGTCTAGCTAGATTATTCTTTCTCATGACCTCATTAATTCATTTATCTTCCCCTCTCCTCTGTTTTGAGGATTCCTTTAAATACCTTCCTAATGCTGGGTTAGGGATCAGGAATTCCTTGAATTTCTCCTCAGGTTGGAGGCTTTATTTCTCCAGTTCTGAAGAACTTCACTGGATATGTTATCTAGGTTGGAAGCCATTTTCTTTCAGGCTTGAAGTGGATCATTTGTTTCCACTGTTTTTCTGCTAGGTTTGCCTCTCCGGTGACTTGGTACTTCTTCCTGCCCTCTCACAGCTTTTTTACTTGTTTGTTGATTTTTGTCCCTTGTGCTAAATCCTCTAAGTTCCTTGTATTGCATGTCCAGTCTTTGAAGCAGTGGAGATGTGTCACAGTTCACTTGGACATCCGTCTCTAAGCACATCCACATTGATTTCAGCAACCACCATGTAGTGCTTTCCCCTGCCTACCAGCCAATCTCCCATTCTTCCATAGCCATTTTTGTTTAATGCTACATAGATTTGTGACACCGAGAGACTAGGCAATACAACTCCATGTGCTACCAAATCCGGGGAACAACAGACATACACTGACTACATGTCCATAGATATTCAAAGAAATAATACGAATAATTCTGTTGGCAATGCACATCTGTGTTTATGCAATACTGTAGGCACTTCAGGAGTCAGCCTAGAGCATGCAGGGCCCTGTGTCTGATCCTCAGCACCACGAGAAAAATTATATTACAGCTTTGGGCAGTGGTGTTTTATGTAGCACTGTTAACTTATTGACATTTGCTGTTAAAAGTACACATATCTGGTGGGTGGTGGAGCAAGCCAACTTTTCACTTACACTAGTGTCAGGAACTGCCCTGCTGTTGAGCTGGACTCCTGGTAGGCTGAAATTTACCCGTTCAAAATGATTCAACATCATTGCTTTCTTGTAACTACTTTATTATCTTGGTTCATGATTATTATTATCTTGAATGGCAAAATACATCTCTGACTAAATTTAAGAGAACTCTATCTAAAATTTTATGATGAAATTTGTTATATATTATGTATTCAATTTAAAAAATTTTTACTTATTATTGTGCGTGCGTAATGGGGGCATGCCACAGTTAGTGTGTGGAGATCAGAGGACAACATTGTAAAAGCTGGTTCTCTCTTCCACCTTTACATGGGTTCCAGAGATTGAACTCAGGTCTCTAGGCTTGATTGGTGTCCTTGATTGTTTCTTCATTGCTGTGACAAAATACTCTGACCAATACCAACTTGGGGAGGAAAGGGTTCATTCGGTTTACATCTTCCTGGTCACATTTCATCAGGGAGCCCAAGGTAAGAACTCAGGGCAAGAACCTGGAAGCAGGAGCTGGAGCACAGGCCATGGAGGAATGCTGCTTACTGGCTTGCTCCCCTGATCCCTGCTCAGCCTGCTTTCTTGTGCAACACAGGCCCACCTGCCCAGGGATGGCACCACGCAGAGCGGGCTGGGCCCTCCCACATCACTCAACAATCAAGAAGATGTCCCACAGATGTGGCCACAGGCTAGTCCAATGGAGGCAATTCCCTAATTGAGACTCCCTCAACCCAGGTGTGTCAAGTTGACACTAAAGCACTCCAGCACAGTTGGCAAACATCTTTACCTACTAATGTGTTTTGCCAACCCATATATTTTAATATTTTGATATGTTTTTCATTAATCCATAACATAAATATTTTGGTCAGGAAGTAGTAGCTATGTGGTATTGGTACCACATATCGTGTGAGATAATCCAAATTATAATATTATGTGGACATGCTTAAAGAAGGTATTTTTAAGTATATTATTTTAGTAAGCTAAGATATTCAACTACGGGCCTTCCTTTACTTCTACTTATAGACTCAAAAGACAAGTGAAGTCTGGATCTTTAGAGGTCATTTCAATACCTGCCTTTTTCTATCCAAACATGTTATATGAGAAGCCATCTACTGAGGACTCGGAAAATGCCATAGGGTATGACACATCAAAGAATAGGACCTTAAATAGCTGACATTACTTAAACAAGACTTAGAACTTGAAGAGATAGTATTCCAACACAGAGATGTACAGGAGCTAGCTCCTCCTGGCTTGTAAGGGTTGTCTGAGAATCACTTTCCAAGTCTGAGTTCAGTGACATCCTGTTGGTAGCATGAAATCAGCAAGAAACTTTTACACCTTGGAAATGGGCCAAACTACACGAGGATCCTCTGTCCTTCCTAGTCTGAGGTAGTAGGTAAACACATGCCAGCACACCACTGATTAATTTACGCTCATGAATACAGACAACAATAAGCAAAGGACATTGAAGGGGTGGGACAGCCCGGGATCCAAACTTGTCAACCTGGAAGCTGCTCCTGACTTTTCTATGCACTAGTCATTCTACATACGTCAATCAGCCTTTCCCTTCATTTTCTCAAATTTTCCAGTGCATATAATGAAATATTACACACAATATTTAATATATTAGATATTTGGATGTTAAGAGAATAAAACATGACAAAATTTATGAAAGAATATTTTTAAATTAACACTTTTGTATGCCTACAAAGGATCTTTATTTCTAGTAATGTATTATTATGGGAAATGTAGTGATTTGATTCCTCAAAAAAAAAAAAAAAAGAATAATGAAGAGAAAGGCCTCCCTGAAATCAGGTTCAATTGCTTTAAAAATTGTATGTGATAAGTTAGAGTCCAGAAATATTCAAGAGTTTTGTTTAGCTTTAAATTAGTGCCTACTTTGTGCCCAGCTTCTTAGAACCATGAAGCTAGGCATTGCCCTACGCCCTTGTTTTTTCCTGCAGTGCTTCCTTTATCATCTCTTCTACTTTTAAGTCTGTGCACACTCTTCCTCTCATCCACATTTCACTACCTTGTACTTGACTCCAGGCCAGCAATGGTACAGGCCTGTTCACTCTAACCCCCACCTAGTCTGTTCTCTCTCAGATTCTATCGATGGCCAGAAGACTCTCTTTTCATATGCGATCAAGTCCATAGCTTCCAATATGTTGTAAGAGATCCTTCATGCTGCAGTGGGTCTCTGCTATCCCTGCCCTCCTGGCCTCTTTCCCCAGTAGCTCTGGCTCTTCCGGGCATCAGGGCTGTGCTCAGGCTTCCTCTGCACACATTGTCTTTCTGTTCCAGACTTCCACCCACCCCACCCTGTTGTACAGTGATTCTTCCTTTCACATGACACTTATCTAATTGTTCTAATTTTTTTAATTAAAAGAAGCATTTCATTACAACAGCATTAACCTATTCAATAACATTTTTCTGAGCTAGGGTACATCTCTTTCAAAATTGGCTGTACATTTCTAGGTTTACAGATGAATTATTACACTTATAAAATCTTATACTCATTATAAACTCTCTAAGAGATAAAATTAAATTAGGTTCCAATGTTTAAAAAAGATCTCCTCTTCATTGTCAAAACACACAGTTTCATACAGAAAAATTCATTCCAAGCCTATTGACAT